CAAAATGATGTCAAAATAGCCACCAGGAAAAGTTAACTCTTTCCTGGATAGGTATGTTTAGTGGGACAAGACTGCCCTCTATAGACCAAATACTAAATTGCTATCTGGAAGGTAACCACACCCCCAGTGTTTCTATTGGCTTATCAACTAATGACGTACAGAGAGTCTGGCCCTTTAAAAGTTAAGACAAAGGGAAGAGAGGAAAAGAGAAGGTAGGCGAGGAATGCAAGGGTATGCAAAGGAAGCAAAGAAGTGAGCAGTCGGGAGAAATGCAGAGAGGCCTATGACAGATATACACTCTAGGACACTCAGAAATTCCTATACGCCTCCATGCAGAGAGACATCCAAATAAGTTCCTGAGACTAATCTATCAATCGGATAAAATATCTACTCAACTGGTAATTATACTGGTTTCATTTAATTAATTAAATTAATTAAAATGTACTAATAGCATGATATATGACTGGATAAATCACGGTCAGATTTCCATATTTAAGAAATCTTAGTTAACTAAAGAATATATAGTTATAAACATTCCATTCTGCAGGTTGAATTAAGAATAATTATATATTAATGTGATAGTATCACATGTTAGCATACCGCTGTTTTTATCCAGGTGTATTGATTTGCTCTAATATAAGATAAGATATCTTTTTAGACAAATTAAATTTGGCTTTTGTAAAAATCTGGTAGATTATTCTTATTGGATGGTTCCAGGAAATGACTAATGAACTGGTTTAAATTTTATTTTATTTAAAATTACATAAGAATAGATCTTAATTACCTAGGCGATCTAGCCAGCATTGAAAGGGTTATTCAGTTGATCTAACTGTTAGCCAGGGTTTTATGGCCCTTCGCTGTCAAAAGCTTCGCTTTCTATGTCTGAAAGGATACCTCATAAATCGTGTAAGTCTTGACAGAAAATGCTGTTTAGCCATTGAAACATGTATAGCCATTCCTTTGTATTGCATACCATTTTATACTGGATATTCATTGATTATTGTCACGCATGTTACATATTATTATTATTATTATTAATTATTGGTCATAATAAATAAATCTATTTTTATAACAAATTGTGATTTTATTTATATGAAATACTTTTCACTTAACACGATAACGATCTTTGGGATCTGAGAATTGAATTAGTGGGCAATTCTCACTGTTTACTATTATTATCCCATAAATATCCCCACAGCTCACAAGCAACACAAGCCTCTGGAAACACTCCTACCACCCCCCCTTGGACCAGCAGGGGTTATCCCAGTCCCCACTGGACCATCACAACGAGCCACCACGGCACTTACCTTTTAGTTCAAACCAGGGCCTAGAAGCAATCTACAGGCCTAACTGCCAACTCACTCGGAGCACAGCAACCTGCATCAAAATGGCAGCGGCGTCTCATCCTCGAGACAATACAAGTGAGCAATCAGGACTGTCCCATTGTTGCCCCGTAGAGCAACTCATACAGCGAATTGATGAGCACTTTCGGCACTTCTGGAGAGCTCTGGGGCACCGGATAGCTCAGCTGCAGCCTCAACCACATGCAAAGGCGTGGAGAGCTGCGAACTGGGGAGTGCAGGAGACCCCCTCGGGCCTAGTTGCTCCAGACACTGGCCTACCTGGGCTGAGGGCCACCAAGGGCTTGACCCTAAGACATCGGCACACCATCGGAACCCACCGTCGCTCCCCACCCGGGAGAGATCCGGCCCATCCGGGCTACCGGGTCCGTGGCAAGAAGATGTCGGCCTCCTCACCAGCCCGGCGCGGGAGGCTGCGGTTACCTCGCTCCCAACGGGCTGCCACCTCTGCACACTGCCACACTGCAGCTATCACCGACTCGGACAAGGACTGGAGGTGGAGGCAAGCAACACCTAGCTCCAGTTTACACCTACCTGTTCCCGATGACCGGGGTGGGGTGAATGCCCCAACCAAAGTTCAGGACTGATACTGCTGCCAGTCATGACCACCAACCGCCGCCACGAACTCACAAGCCTTCTCACTCGCACCTTTGATCGTCAGACAACACGTTACAGCCAGTGGACGACAGTGGTGCTCACTACTGTAATGCCAGCATAAGTGACTCAGTGCTTATCCAGCTGGTCAAATTATATCAACGTGGACTGTTTTCACTGAGGTTACATGCATGCATAGTTTAATGTTCTTATATGCTTGGTTACTCATGCTGTCACTAACCTAACCCACGCTCTGACTAAACTTGTCTATAACATAATCGTATATTCTTTAGCTGAAGCTACAATGTTAAATCTGCTTATATTATAAAATTGTGCCTGATAATTGAAGCCCTGCATGTTACGCGAGGGAAATACTTGAGGACTGCTTCTGGGGCACCTTGAGACTGCATGTACCTATTCTTTGCACTGCAAAAATAGAAAAATAAAAAAAATAAAAAAATGACTATAACAATGACAATTTAAAATCAGCTTCTGTCACCAGGCTCATCAAAACTGTCAGCTCCAGGCCCATAAAATCCTGCCCTGGGAGGATATTCAGTAAAAGACAGGTAAATGCTTAAGGAGGAACAAGAAAAGTGACTAAAGAGCAACAGGTGTGTGATATGTTAGGAGAAGACATGATTTTGTATGTGTGGAAGACATAAGTCCAGGACAGAGGTAGGCAACCTTTTAGTAGTACTGTGCCAAAACAAGATCTTGAAGTCTCTTGGCGTGCCTTTCCTATTTTGTTTTTATTTCAGGTGTGTATGTTTTGTATTCTGCTTGTGTTATTTATGGGCAGTTGCTTTGTAACATTGTATTTGTGTGTATGTGGGCTGTTGCATTGTATATGTTCATGAGTAGTCTGGTTGTGTGTATGATATCTATGAATATGGGCTATATATGGAGGACTGGTATACGGATTGTCTATTCACGTTTAGGTTCAACACCTAGCCTGACACTGGGGATGGCCAAGTAAGGTTAAGTGCAGGAACTGTGACAACTGTGATGGTTGCTCTACTCCAGTGCAGATTCCCATTCACAAGTACTGGGGGGTAGTGATCTGAGAATACTTGTTCTAAGTGTTGCAATGGGTAACTTGAGGATTGTTCCTCACTACCTGCAATCTCCATTAAAGTTGCACTACCAGATATCTGAAGTCCCACTCGGACTCCTGGTAGGCCTCAGCCTGTTTGACTCAGGCACCTCGAGTGCTATGCATGGCACATATGCCTTAGGTTGTTGACTCCTGGTCCATGATTTTCACATTCTCAGAAAAGTGTCCAGAATGCTATGGAGCCTTGCTTAATTTTCTCAATTTAAATTTAAGACAAAATGTAGTTCTCATTTGCGTAAATTGTTTTGTTTTGGGTTTTTTAATCTAGCAGGTACAACAAATCAGTGTTGTGATCTGAAAGCAAACGTATACTGGGTCATCCCTAAATTGGGGTTAGCTCCACTCTAAACACATTATTGTCTTGATTTGAGGCATTTGTCACCACATGTGGATTGAGTTTCCTGTACAGTCAAAGGCTCAAAAACAGTGGGAAGGCTATATGTGGTGTAACCATAGGTACTGCCTGAAAGTGGTTTTAGCAGGTTTCCTTTCTAATAGTATATACCAGGACAGAGTGTGTCTGTTAATGAAAATGTTGTCCAAACCAATTTAATCATGACTAGTGGCATACACAGAGCATTTCCTTACTGCAGCTCTCTATCAGACTGGACAGAGGAAAATGAAGTTCCATAACCGAGGTTTCACAATGCCATGCTACAGTGTGTGGTAGGCTAAGAGGAAGAATTAACCCCTTAAGGACACAACTTCTGGAATAAAAGGGAATCATGACGGAATATTTCCGTCATGTGTCCTTAAGGGGTTAAGAGACACACATGGAGAAGTCAAAGAAACAAGGGGTTAGGAGGGTAAGCGACACATATTGGTATATGTAACGGAGCTCCCTGTACTCCGACTGAGTACCCTCCGTTGATGGATGCTCCTAGCGCTTCCTGAGGACTCCAAACACTGCAGCAGACACCACAACCACCGCAGACTCCACAACCGCCGTAGCTTAACTGGAGTCTCGCCGTCTTCCTTCCACCCTGGATCAGCTTCTGTCCTCCAGGACCGTGTGGGGAAGACCTCTCCTCCAGGAGAGCGTAACAGGAACAGCTCTTAAAAGAGCTAAGTGATTAAAAGCTCAGGGGAGTATGCAGAGCATAGCAATCCCCAGTGTGATATAGCAGTTCCCTCCAATAACGAGACAAGGCTACGTATTGAGGGTCAAGAAGATCTGATGTTTAATGGCACACACCCTGCTTTTATGAGATTCTGCCCATGCAAGGGAGACACCCACATAATTAGCAGTATAACCAATCGGAACAATATACATTCGGGGAAATTCCCATCCCTCAGATAATCACATAACATAATTAAAACAGAACAGTAAAAATACAGTTTTTATACATGTACTATAACTTCCAAACTACACATCCAATCTTCATAAAAATTACATATTTGGAATCAATCCATTAAGGGGAGCAACATATTAAAAATGGCACAAATCAGACAAGGGGTTCAAAAGTTAGCAAAAGTGTATTTTGGGGCCTGGCTGGCAGCATGGTTTTCTGGCCCAAACCGGTTTTACAGAGGCCTCTATCCTGGACAATGGGGAAAGTAATCCAATTATCCAGGGATAGAGGCAGACTCCATTAACCACATGTTAGCAAAAGACACAAAAAGACACAAAAATACATAACTCCTATTGAACTGAACAGAACCCCCACATTCAACCTATCCCCAGATGGCTTGGATCTGAGCGCTCAATATATCCAAACAGCGCTCAGATCCCACAAATACAGTCAAATCGCCATACACACTAGGTCCATAGTCATGGGGCAGAAGGCTGGCAATTAGGCTTCTCCATAACAGAGGGAAGCAGGGCAATTTGTCAAATAAAATAACAGTTACAAATGGCAGTTTGTAACAGTATATAACAGATACACATGAGTAGTTAACAGACTCACAAGAGGTAAGGGCGGCTTTGAGACACACATGGGGCTTAACAGATGCTCTTGGATGGTTAACAGACATATATGGAGGATTAACAGACATGGGCTCAGTACGGACTGTGCCAAAAACCCATACTAGGCATTTAAAGGCAAAGCAGCCCAATACGAGGAGGCAGGGCCAGAGAGGACGCATGTTATGTCATTACCACTGCCTTGAATACTTCCCAAAGTGTACATATCAGTTCGTTGTTGATGCTCCTTCAGGGCAGCCCATGAGCAGTACCCTGATAAAGAACTTTTGAAAATATCCTCTGTTTGCTTAGCATAGTGCAAGCAAATTGAATGACAAGCTTGTTCTGCATTTGCTGGAGACTTGTTTCTGGTGTACCCATAAGTGGAATACCAGAGTACTAAAGAGGTTCTGGGAGTGGCTTCCTGTGTTTGTGTATGAGGCTGCTTGTGAGGTTACATGTGTGGGAGGAGGCTGCTTGTAAGATTGCATGTGTGGGGGGAGGCTGTGTGTAGTGTTGCATGCATGTGGTAGACTGTTTGTGAGGTTGTTGTGTGGGATAAAGCTGCTTGTGGGCGTGTGTGTGTGTGTGAAGTAAACTACCTTTGGTGTTGTGCCTTTGTGTGCGCGGAGGCTGCATGTGGGGTTTCGTTTGTGTGATGAAGCAGGTTGTGCAGTTGTATGTGTTGGGTTACTTTTGGGAGAGAGGCTTCTAATGGGGTTTTGTGTCTGTAAATTGGGATGTGAGGTGTAGTGTATGTACAGAGGCTATAGTGTATGTAAATACAGGCTAGGGAGTTTTGTGTGTCGGGGGGAGGGGATAAATGGACACATGTATTGACACCCCCGGCCACACTGTGAGCATTTTAATGCCTTGGGGGGCCCTGAGGTTGCAAGCCCTTGGGCCCCCCATGAAAAAGGATAACATGGCATCTGCCAGGGCGCTTAAGGGCAAAAAAAAATTCCGCCCCCCCTAAAAGTGCCGCCCAAGGCAAATGCCTTGTTAACCTTGTGGGAAATGTGTGTAAATAATGCCTCGTTTCCACTGAGCGGTATGATTCAGGTCAGTAAAGTTCGGAAGGGTTAGAATGGTTCAGCCTATTCAGGTGAACGTTTCCGTTGCAAGTTGGACAGCCAGGGGGCATGCAGAGTTTAGACCAAATGCCTAGTGTGTCATTTGTCGTGAGCATTGACATTTTCCTGTCTGCCAATCAATGGATTGTATAGTGTGACGCCAGTAGCTCCGCCTTAACCGTACCTTACCATTTCCTCTGAAGGGGGCCCAGGAATGGTGCGGTGTGGTTCGGTTGTATGGGCCACTTTCATAATGAAAACACTCAAAATAGCGTACCAGACCGAACAGACCCGAATGAACCCTACCGCTCGGTAGAAACGGGGTATAAGAAGCATTGTTTTTGTTCTAAATTACATTTTAGTTGTATAAATTGTTATTAGGAAGTCACATAAAGTTTCTCAGAACAGCCTCCCCTCTACCCCCCAGCTGGCCACACATCAGTCACACCCCTAAAATTCAAGTGTCTTTCTTTGCCCATGTGAAATGTTGGGAGATATGCATACAAGCATGTCATTATTGTGAACATACAAACAAAACAACAAGAAATTGGATGCTGATAATAGCAATGCTAATAAAAACAATGATAATAAAAAATGGAGATATTTGTCTCTGTGCTAGACTTTCAGTTAACCTGAAAGTCTAGAAAGAACGTCTGTGTAATGCTTCAAGGAGGCAGTTATTCCTAATTGTTAAACCACCAGTAAAAATGAAAGCTCCATTTAGAAAGAACCTCTTGTGTATAAAAAAAAAAAAAAAAAAAGTATTTTCAAGTTATGAAGTTTGTTCTCCATCTCACAACATGGGCTGACAAATCAAAACCTTTTATAGCAGAGTGGAGCACTGCTTCCTTTCTGGAAAATTATTGTAAACTCATGAGATGGCTCTAAGATAATATTGTGAATTTATTTATTTATTTTGAGTGTGTGTGTGATGGGATTTCAACATGGTTCAAAATTTAGCCTGAAATCTCCATGTGGCATATACAAGTACAGGTGTTGTTGTATCTGTTAGTTAGTTACATGTAGCTAAGATACTGTCATCAGGACATGACAACCATAACGGTTGTCATGGGCCCGGCGGTCCTAAGGGTCCCGGACTGCTCAGGTCGTCCCGGCCCCCACATTCAGTGGCGTACATACCGGGGTCGCAGGGGGCCCACCCACCCTGCGACCCGGTATGTACCCACTGTGGCCAGCCTCTTCTCCTGAGGGGCCCAGCAGCCAGTCACCTCAGGGCCCACCGAGGCTGGCCCTGGTGTCACCCGGCGGGCACACGAGGGAGCACTCTGCCTGGCTGAGTGCTTCCTCTTCAGCCCCCTTGTGCACCGCACTGATGCCAGAGCCGGAAGATGACGTCATCTTCCGGCTCCGGCATCAGTACGCGGTGCGCGAGGGAGCTGAAGAGGAAGCACTCAGCCAGGGAGAGTGCTGGCCTCAGCCAGGCGCTTTGGTACTCTCCCCGCAGGACCGGCTGCCGGGTGACACCACTGTACCCCAGGGAATCCTCTCAGCACTCCCAAAGGTAGGGAGGCTGGGGGGATGAAACTTAAAAAAAAAAGTGTGTGTGTGTTGGTGTGTGTTAGAGTGTATGTGTTTAAGTGTGTGTGTGTCTTAGTGTGTGTGTGTGTTAGTGTGTTAGTGTAAGAGCATGCGTGTGTGTTAGAATGTGTGTGTGTGTTAGTTTGTGTGTTAGTGTTAGAGTGTGTGTGTTAGAGTGTGTGTGTGTTAGAGAGTGTGTGTGTTAGAGAGTGTGTGTGTTAGAGTGTGTGTGTGTGTTAGAGTGTGTGTGTGTTAGAGTGAGTGTGTGTTAGAGTGAGTGTGTAACTGTGTGTGTCTGTTATTGAGTGTGTTAGTTTGTGTGCGTCTGTTAGTGTGTGTTTTGTGAGTGAGTGTGTGTATGTATGTCACAGAGTGTGTGTCTGTCAGTAAATGTGTGTGTCTGTTAGCTAATGTGTATGCGTCTGTTCGTGAGAGTGTGTGTGTGTGTCTTAAGCACTTACCTTTCTCCAGCGCCAGACTCCCTTGGCGCTGGGGATCTCTCCGCCCTGATCCGCCCCTCAGCTCTGAATGCGCATGCGTGGCAACAGCCGCGTGCGCATTCAAACCGCCCATAGGAAAACATTACTCAATGCTTTCCTATGGACGTTCAGCGTCTTCTCACTGTGATTTTCACAGTGAGAATCGCGGAAGCTCCTCTAGTGGCTGTCAATGAGACAGCCACTAGAGGCTGGATTAACCCTCAGTGAAACATTTTCTAAAAACTAGAGGGACCTGGCACCCAGACCACTTCATTGAGCTGATGTGATCTGGGTGTCTGTAGTGGTCCTTTAAGTTTATCTGCATGCACTGGCGTACATACCGCAGTCGCAGGGGTCGCAGCCCTGCGACCACATGCCAGTCACCATGTGTTGCGGCCCCAGCCAGCACAAAGTAAGCGCGCGCGGGGGGGGCCCACGGATCAGTTTTGGCACCAGGGCCCCATGGGTTGTGTGTACGCCACTGCCCACATTAGCTATGTTCACACATATATAGCGATTAACGCTATATATGTGTGCACTGCCGGCCCCCCGCTATCTGTATTCTGCAGAGGGCCCAGCACACTTCAAATATACTGCCCAGATGCTCTGCCGAGTCGAAGTCTCGCGAGTGACACAATCGTCAGAGCGTTGCCATGGCAACGCTCCGCACGGCTCGCAAGACTTCGACAGAGCAGAGCATCTGGGCTGTATATTTCAAGTGTGCTGCACCATTCCTCAGGACCTCCGGCTCCAGGGCTCCAGCCAATGTGATCTCCCCCCTCCATGGCCATAGGTGAGATACAGGGAGGAGGGAATAAAACAATACAATTAATGGATGAAAAAAAAAAAACTGTAGGCTTTTCCCCCCACATTTTGCAGCCCCATACATTTACACACACTATACACTAACATTTACACACACTATTCACTAACATTTACACACACTATTCACTAACATTTATACAAACTATACACTAACATACACACAAAATTCACTAAAATTTACACACACTACATCCTTACACAAACATACACTCTGCAGTCACTACACACACTCTGGAGTCACTACACAAACACACACTGCAGTCACTACACACACTACTTCCTAACACAAACACACACTCTGCAGTACCTACACAAACACACACTTTGTAGTCACTACATCCACTACACAAACACACACTATGTAGTCACTATACACACACTACATCGAATACACAAAGACACACTCTGCATCCACACACTGTATTCACTAAACACTACATCCACTACACACACTCTGCATTCACTACACACACACACACACACTACATCCACTACACACACACTCTGCATTCACTATACACATCACATTTAATACACACAAACACTACATCCATTACACAAACACACATACACACTCTGCATTCACTATAAACACACACTACATCCACTACACAAACACACACTCTGCATCTAATATACACCTCATACATTACACAAATGTGGGCGGACTCAGGGGGGGCAGCACTTTGGGCGGACTCGGGTGCAGGCACCAGGGGGCCCAGACATTGAGCTGTGTCAGGGGCCCAAAAATTTCTGATGGCAGCCCTGACTGTCATCAATGTACTGCGCATGTGCATCAACTGTAGTCACATTCCTTTGTCCTACGGTCTGCCCATATTAGGTGATCCTGAATATCCGTTTCTCTGATTGGTCTAAGGGTATGTGTGAGTGGAGCTATGAATGGGAGGAGTTATTGTTAATAAATAGCCTGTGCAAACTATGCTCTGGGCTCATACCTTTTGAACACAAGTTCAGTGTGAGATCCGATCGGTGTGTAAATAAAAGACCTGTTACTTCCTGAAGACTTGTGTCCATATCTCTATGTGTGGCTTCTGCGGTTTGTTCCTGTTATTACTCCAGTAACATGTGTGTGTTTGTTATTGAGTGTTAGTGTGTGTGTCTGTTAGTGTTAGTTTGTCTGTTAGTGTGTGTGAGAGTGTGTGTCTGTAAGTGAGTGTGTGTGTGAGTGTTAGTGTGTCTGTCAGTGAGTGTGTATCTGTGACTGAATGTGTCTGTCAGTGTATGTATGCGTGTTTCAGCGTGTGTATGCATGTCTGTCAGTGTGTGTATGCGTGTCTGTCACTGAGAGTGTGTC